CTTGAACTAGTCCTTTCAGGGACCGACCAGGCTGATACTACTGATCTAACGCTGCTGAGCTTCAGCTGCACAGGGTCCCTCTGAAGAGGAGGAAGGGAGAGAACAAATTGGTACGAAGTACCAATGCTTGTTCTTACCCTGATTTCTTTTGATGCAGCTTACATTGATTCCCACAAGTCTCCACACCAAGACTTTCCCTTTAACAAACTGTGGATTCATTGCTACAGCCACCTGTGAGACGGGTGGGTTTGATGCTAAGTGAGATGCCGCATCCAAGGAACGCAAAAAGCAGCAGAAGGCCAAGGTGCGATGTCATCTGCCAGCACAGCAAGAACCATATATGGATTTTGCAGCACCCTTGTCCTCACAAAGGCTTCCACAAAGAAGTGCTGAAATAGAAAAAAATCACAGACTGAGCCTCTTTGCAGGATGCGGCTGAAATTGAGGTCTCCCGAGGAAGGACCAGCTGAGCAACAGAGCGCAGCAGCAGGCCACCTACTTTGTGTTGTAGCCACAAACACCGGTTTGGACGCCAGTAAAGCCAGCCTTTGTGGACCAGACTGCTATTTAAAAGGCAGTACACATCCAAAGGGGGAGCCTTGTCTTGAGACAAGTGTGTACCAAACCCCCCCCCCAAAACTCCATGCATATTTGCTCCCACAAGTGAGCTGTGCACACAAGGAGGTACTGCGGTTGACTGGATTGGGCCCTTCATCAGGCTGATGTGCCGGCACGACAGTAATTTCAACACAGATTTTATGTATTGACTGGTACCTTCTGAAATCATTAGAGGAACTGAGCATAAATGTGACTGAAGACTGCTCCTATGCAATGTTAAAGACAAGCAACTGCTTAGATTAGGGCATCATGTCATCTTACGAGCCTCTTTCCTACCAGCAAGGTTTCAAAATAACTTCAGCAAAATTATGATTCTGTTAATGGTGCAAGAAAATGAACGTACGAGAGATGGAGAAAGGTGCTTACAGTTCTTACTGTAACCCCAAAGTGTATTAAATGGGAGGGAGTCTAACTCAGTCAGGAAACGGCCAACAATCATTTTTCTCCCATCCTTTTGTGATAGGGAGCTCACCACAAGAAAAAAGAATTACCTTGTCAGCAGCTTCCTAATTGTAGAACTCCACGTTAACTCCACCCCATGCAGTTAACTGTAATTAGCTGAAGTAATTCCAATCGTTGCAGCAAGTAATTCCAATCGAAACACAAGTAATCTATGAAGGTGTAAAGTCAGCCTGCAGTAATGCTTTGCACTACAAATAGCTAATTCAGTCTTTGCAACAGTTAGTGTTTCATGTGGATGGGGAATCAATCCTACATACCATTGTGGTTTTTAAGGAAATCACTAATTTCAGCATTGTGCTGAGATAGCCCCCTTCTCGTACCAATTGTAGCCAGGCGCTCCCCACACTTCCAGCTTTTCCTGGGAGCAGGTTCCATAGCCCCAGTTTCTGCTTTCCCAAAAACAAATGGAAAAGCAACAACTGAAGTTTTGTTTAATTTATAAACTGCACCAAATTTTCTATTAGGGCTAATATTAAAGAAAAAATACTATATACAAATGATCATATTGAAATTATATTGGAAACGTGAACTTAGTATCACAAATGGATTTTTCTCAGTGAAGTCAAACCCATAGGTTAGATCTCCTAATGAAAGAAAAGAGCTGGACTTCAGGTGCAGCAGAGCCCAGCCTTTAGTATCTGGCCCCAGGGTGGGGAATCAAGAACCCAGGGTGGCAGCAAGCGTCCCTGTGCAGTGCAGGGGACAGCAAGGTTTCCACGGCACAAATCAAGCCTGGCAGCAGTACTGTGGAGGAGCTGATAGCTCACTGACCGCCGGATGATGCACGACTCGCCCCTGCCTCTCTGCAAAGCTGTCTCTTGGGCTGCTGGAAGATTTGTCTGTCTGCAGAGGATCTGCAATCCAGCAACACCCTCTGGGCTTTAGAGTTGCTTTCCACCTCACACTTCTCTAGCCCTTGCAGTCTTCCATTTACACGTGCTGACACCACAAAATCCAGGTTTTCTGCCTCCAGGTTGTTAGCTTACCTGGATTAATGTCTTGTTTCTGGATCTCAGCCCACAGTAGGCACAGGTGAGCCCCTCAGAGGAGGGAGGATCTGTACGTAAGCAGAAGTTCTCTTCAACAGCTAAACAGGAAGGTGCTTGGGGGATTTAAGCTGCAGTTTTACCTTAATTTTAGAGTTAACATAAGTCATGCAATAGTTACCTACGTTCTTTATAAGCCAGACCCTCTAATCGTTAAAATGAATGCAGCATTAAGATTTGAAACCTTTAGTACATAACATAATCTTGTCTTTTCCAAATGTTTTTCCCTTACACTTCTTTTTTAATCCCCAGCAAATTATATAAAAATGGATTTGAAGATATCCACAGCCACGCCTTCAATGGGACAAAGCTGAATCAATTGTGAGTATGTTTCCCCTCCTCAGTGTTTTTTTTTTAAACAGTAAATAATAGTTCAAATGCAGTCAAAGCCTCTTCCTTCAGCTTAACTGGCTGTCTTGCATTTCCTGATACCCATTAGAAAACTGCATGTTTCAGTGTCATTGCAACTTAGTTGTTAATCCTGCAGCACGTACTGATAAAAAATAATTTTTAATAAAACTTAATAAATTCCTAAACTTAGCAGCAGTAGTGGAAAGCTTGAAACTGTAGCCCAAAGTCAGGAACCTATAGATTTTATGTTGGAAATGTCAATAGTTTTTAAATCACACTCACACGTTCTGGGACTAGCCTCTTGGTTTGGGCAAAACTTTTGCTGCATTTTTGTACGCTGCTGCTGCAGTGAAGGAACCAGACTGGTTGGTCCTGATTTAAGTCAGAAGAAATTGGAAATGATCAGAATTAAGTGTAGATGATAATGGTCTGATGGCATCAGCGGAGGGAAAGGTCGCGTGAGAAATACAAGCGCTCCCAGGCCAGATATGGCAACAGCAACCGCTGTGGTGGGAGAGAGGATCAAGAAAAAATAGATTGGAAGAAGAAACCAAAAAGGTTATTTTAAGATGGAGAGATAAAGAGTTAATGTTTGATTCCACAGAATCCTGAAGGACAATAAGAACCTCAGGTGGATACACAACGACGCCCTGAGAGGGGCCACAGGGCCAGACGTCCTGTAAGTATCCACCGCTCCGTTACCTGGGTTTATAGGTGTCCCATGGGACCTGCGCTGTGCTACGTGGGCGACATCATCTCGGCAAACACGGGCTTTCAGTCTGGAAGGAGACTTCATCTTTTACCCTCCACTTGTAAAATGGAAACACGTCAACAAGATGCCATGAAATTACAGGGTGGAAGGCTCAGTTTGCACCATGACAAATGCCTATCAGCCAGTTCTAGCATTGGCACTGACCTCCACCCCTTACATATCTCAGCCTTTGCTTTATTTGTGTCAGATCCTCCTGATCCTATCCCTGTGCCATATATTCTGACATTGCCAAGTAACTTGTCTTTTGGTAGGATTAGTATGTTTTTACAATATATTATTTTCGAATTTGATTATAAAAGTGAACTGGCCGACTGCATGCTATAAGCCTGTGCTGAATGAAACACATTATTAGCCTCCTCATGCTTTATTAATCAAGTACTTACTGGAGGGCTGCACTGGCTGTAACTCCATGCAATAAAACACAATGGGTGGTTCCGTAAAAGCATTCTGTGCCGCACGTGCCATTTTGTTCCTTTTATTGGTGCCTTACAGTACCCAGCATTACTAATATCACTTTCACAATGGTAGCCTTTTTTCCCCGTTTAATGGCCTGACTCTGAAAATCCTTAGTCATGTTGATGGCTTTTCCTCACATAAGCAGCCCCTCTGAAATGACTCTAAGCCAAACTGCTTAAGTTTGTCTTGGCAAGAATGATGGATTCTTTTATGTGTTTCAATTAATAACCATTTAATTAAAACACCTAGAACAGCCCTTCAGAGCCAAGCAGAGAGTCAGGAGGGTGTCCTACCCGTTAGCTGGCTGGAGAGTCACATTCGCCCACTTTCTCTCCCTTTCTCTGGCCTAAAGAGCCGTCCCTCACTCCATCCACGGTGGCTTTCAAACAGAGGTCAGGGCACAGCCCCTGGAGCACTGGGTTTCTGTTTCCCCCTCGCTGGGGCTTCTGGGCCACGGGGGTGCTCTTACCCCACTGCTCTGTAGTTTCACAGACCATGTTTCTGAGCTGGGTATCAGGTGCTCAAGTGGCTTTGCAGATTTAGACCTTCGTGAAAAAATGAGTCGCTGTTACCTACCATCATGCTTTGGTGGTATTTTTACACGTATTAAAAGAAAAGAGAATGCTCTCTTTATTTTGCAGGGATATTTCTTCAACGGCACTGGAGTCCCTGCCTACTTACGGGCTCGAGGCCATTCAAGTCTTAAATGCAACGTCATCTTACTCGTTAAAGAGACTGCCACCGCTGGATAAATTCAGCAGTCTTCTGGAAGCTGTTCTAACATATCCCAGCCACTGCTGTGCTTTTCGAAATCTAAGGACAGAAAAGTAAGTCCGAATAGCACATTATTGTATTGCAGTACTTCAGAAGCTCCAAAATTGCAATTACGCTTCTTCGTTCAGCTCACGAGGTTTGATTATCCTTATTCCAGTTACAAGGAAGCTGTGGTATGTAGCAAGACCTTGCATGAAACAACAGATCTCTGCCAAAGCCAGGAAATTACCTCCATTTACTTCCTGTGCCCAAGACCTGCCAGCAGGAACATTATTCTAAGTTTGCTTAAAGCTTATATTTTTCTTGGTATCTCAATTAAAGCGCCCACATGGAAGACAGATCTCCATCAATAGCATGTTGCCCTAAAAAAAAAAAAAGCAGCCCCTGTAGCCTTTAGCTATGTTGCTTATTTAATGCAGGTGATATGATGACCTAGTAGAAAAGGCAGGCTTTCAATTACCCACTGAAATTAGGACCTGACACAAGCCTACAGAAGGGGGTTACTCAGTTTAGTTCCAGTCATTTCAGATAACAATATTGTTCTCTCCACAATTGGAAACCATGGCACAGAGTGCACTTTGCATCTGCTAATTTGGGGCAGTCAGTCTGAGACAACTGGAGCTAATTTTTCAGCAGTTTTGTTTCAAAGAAAATCAACCCTCGGTTGGCTTCAGGGCAGCCAAAGCAACTCCAAATGAGTTTAGTTGAAGCTATGAGGCTGTCTCACTTCTCATCTGTCTCAAATGAAGGCTACAGAAAAGACGTACTGAGCAGCCATTTGTGGGAAGCCTGATCTGTGTGACTTGCATGCCATCGCATCAGGACTGCGTTGCAAAGGCAGGAGTAGAATCCAATTCTTTAGGGTAAAATTAGGGGTGATTTCTCTGCCTACCTCATTACTAAGTGGTTCCCGCTTCTGCAAGAGTAGAGCAAAGATCCTACAGTCAAGGGTTTCCACTGCTACCAAACTTTGATTCAGTCCCAGATCAAGTCTCTGAGTGTATTAAATGCAGAAGCAACTCTGGGACAGAAAAAAAAAAAGTTTTATTCATTCTGATGAAGATAACTGCATTTCTGATACTAATTTTCAGGTGCTTGACTTTGCAACATCATCATGCTCTATAAAAACAGGGGTGCTTTAGTAAGTCACTTTCTTATATTTAGTGAGTGTTTTCTTAATAAACTGAGAAAAAAAAACAACTGCAAATCAGGAAACTAGACTGCCCTCCTAACTGGGACATCAGCAGGGCTCAGAGCAGTGCTGATGAGTTACCTGTCTGCACAGCCCTGGCCGCTGGAAAAACCTGTACAAGCAACAGGCTGTTATCTTCTATGTGACCAGCTACTACAAAGGAAGGACAGACAGATCTCTGGCTGTTTGCCTTGTCATCTACTGATGACAGCAGAACACCACGGAGACCGAGACCTCCCAAGACCTTCCCAGGTTACACAGGGAAGAGTCTTCGTATGGTTATGTATTCTCATGGTCATGCAGATGCAGCCTGTTTCTGTCTCCTTCTACCCCCTTCTGTTGCCCTGTACTCTACATGCAGTCATCCCACATAGTTTTTACTACCCCCGCCCCGTATCCCATTCCTTAGCACCTATAGACTGCACTCTCTGATCAGCGAGATATGGTGACAAGGTCGTACATACATCTGACTGGGCAAGCAAGTTCACTTAAGTCAGCGTCACAGACATCAGGGAAATAAAGTCCTCGTACCAAATATTCTTGAGATTTCTGGAGTACAATTGTGTTGTGCTCATTCCCTGAGCCATGAAGGTAGCATTCAGTTCCCAAGACTTTCTTCCACTGGCCTGAAGGGGGGGTGGAAAGCAGGTTATACTACATCTTCACAAAATTACAAGAAAAAACAACTTCTGTTGCCATCCCATTATTTATAAGCATCACACAGCAGCTTAGATTGGTATCTTAAAACCGTATTTCTCTCATTATACATAAAACTTTCTGTAAGCTTCCAGGTGTCCGATTCTCTTAAGAGTACACTGAAGAGCTTAGTGGCTTTGCTGGCTCTTTCTACTGTCGCAGCAATGAGGTCAAGACAAAGCCATTTCCATTTGCACTGGTAGAGTACCTGGCTCGTACTTTCAAAGCCTCAAAACCAGAGATTTTGCCAAGTATGTCATCTTTCAACTTGTATTTTTCAAATTGCTTTACTTCCAGCATGTAAAGTCTACCTCCAGATCCCAAACAGTTTTTGAAAGAGAGCATCAGACTAGCTTCCCAGCATTTGTTAACATGCATTTCTCTAAAAGCCAGCGTAACTGCTACCATTCATACTGATGGAGAATCTGGCCCACTTCAATACAGTAGTTCATAAGGCAAAACATACCTTTTAATTCCAGCTCAAGTTATTTCACTATAAAAAAAGAGATAATAAACAATAACCAAGCTGAAAGACCACCCTTATACCCCCCGTGAAGTACTACCTACTGTTGCAGTATTTAAAGCCTTCTCCTCCCCGCTTCCAGAGGTCTACGTCAAAGTTCACACTGCCATGAGGCCAACTCTGGCTTACCTTACGTGTCTGTGAAGATCACTTGCAGAGAAGATGATTTGGCCAAAATCCAGACTGAAACTCAATTTTCTTTTCATCCTTCTTTCAGACAAAATTCTTTGCTTTCTATTTTTGACAACTTCTCCAAAGAGTGTGAAAGCACCATGAGGAAACCAACTAATGAAATACTGTAAGTACCTCTCTGCATACAGATGCTGGAAGTAGCAAATACGGACCTCGCCCTCCTGCTGTTCGTGTTTTTTCTAGAACAGCATGTCTTTTGCTGCCAATACAGTCACCCTTACAAGTTGCACATTGGTAATTCTACTATCATTAAACCAAAATTTGTGATTTTGATGTTCAAAAGGAAAGGAAAAAAACCATAATTTCATGAGCTTCACTCATTCCAGCTTCTCTTCTGAATTCTTGAAAGACTTTCAAACAGTGATTAAATATTTAAGAAAGTTAATGGCCTACATGGACCTGAGATAGCTGCAGTTGTTTGTGCGATTCAAAGAAGAGCTGCTACTGTTAATATTTTTTTGCCTACAGAAAGGATAATTAGAAGTCTGTATGTCAGTAGTTCTCCATGGTAGAAATAGAGTCCCTGAGTTAGAAGTTTGATGACCCCGTGCAATTGGTTTACCTCTTCTAAACGTGTCTTTCCATATCATCACAGTTCTGTTTCACAGTGTTCAGTGGGACAATGAGAAAGGCTAACAACAAAACTGTTGTGTTGGCCATGCTGGATAACACAGGCTCTAAACCAATTATCTAATGGAGAAGTTTAAGGATTTGCTACTATCCATCCCTCTACAGCTAAGAGGGAGACCTTGGGACTTGTCTTCAGCCCTGAGGTGGGGTCACAGCATTGCAAAGTCTAGAAAAACAAGGTTATGGTCACAAAATTCCAACAGCTAAATACAGCTGAAATGTGATTGATCCATTGGGATAATGTCCACGTCAGTCAGTATCTCGTTTGCTGGTTGGTGAGGCCTCCTACACTTACCGTTTGGTTTTATTCGGCCTTTTGTAAAGCAACAGTTGCCTCGATTCTCTTGTCACCGCTTCTCATTCATTGCCTGCCTGCAGCATGTTTGAGTGCCTCGCTTAGTAAGTCCTGTCCACTCCACTCCTAACTGCAAAACTGAACCACTTCAGGACTACAAAAAGGCAAAGTCCAGGCAGTCAACGAGACCAAGAATATATTGCCTCTGTCAAGAGTGGCTGTGGGGAGAAGCCAGGTGAGGCAAGGAGGTAAACACAGAGCATTAGATCACGTTATAAAGACAAGTGAAGTGACGCCCCAGTCAGGAATATGATCACACAAATCACCAGTGCCTATGCCAGAGTAATCCCCCTGCTTCAAATGAACATTTGTTGCACTCCTGCTGTGCATTAAATAGTCTGCCCAGTCTATTGCTCCTGAAGCTTTTTGCTCTGGTAAGTCCCAATCCCAGCAGTTCTCTGAGCAGATATTATATTAAGCAAATGGAAATAAGGTCATGATCATGGGCTGAAAGGCTGCAAGTTGAAAAGTTTGGGAACCACAGCAGAAATCGGCTGAAAGTCCTGAGCTCTTATTAGGAAGAAAAACCCCCAAAAAACCAGCTTGCACACGGCAGCATGTTTATATGGCCTCTCAGAAAATCACCATCATTTTTTATTAATAGAGTCAAACGTATTGCCTGCTCTTTCAGTTTAACCCAGGCAAGTAAAAACAAGCCATTGGGAAGTTTTTCATGTAAGGAGAGAACAGTTAGGATAAAAAGATGGGAAGTTATTTGCCCAATAACTGAAATAGCTAGGGATCGCTGAAAAGCAGCTCAGCTTCATTTGCCAGTTAAGACCCTGCTCCAGAAAAATAGTTTAATGCACATGCTTCAGTAGATGTGGAAGTTTAAGCATGTATGTAAGTTATCCCAAAGCTATCAGTTTTCTGAAGAGTTGTCCTCCATAGAGATGCTTTCCAGGTCGCACACTGCAGATTGAGCGTTTGCCCACCAAACACTCACAGCTGGGATGACTGGATAGTTGTGCAATAGGTACCTG